TTCAGGTGGAGTTTTTGAAGAATTCGGGTAAGCAATCGTGGAAATCTTCCAATATCTAGCGCATTTATCAGCAACACTGCTTTTTTCATACTAAATAAATTTGCAGAACAAAGTTTTAGAATGTTTTAAAATGTACTTGCCCTAATGGTCTATGAATTTGAACAACTCGACTGTTGCATATGGTTAGTCTAAGTGAAACAAAACAGACAGCACCCATCAAAGAGTCAGTCAATATGAACATTTCCAAAAACATGTCTCCCAAAACCATTGGGTTGAAAAGGTCCATTCAGTGACTTTCCTCTTGTTTTGCACAAAGCAAACCATTAGGGGAGTGTACTCTCTGGGAGAATGGCAATAATTTAGTAGTGGGTTCTTATATAACCAGTTAATTCCAGGCCAAACTTGAAAGGGGCGGGGGAGGGTTCGCGGTTTGGGCGGTTCCTCAAAAATAAAAGACACTGCATGGCAAATAATGGCAGGGAAACAGTGCAAATGAAATCCTGTAGCGTTACTATGCTCACAACTGTTTTAAACCCGTTTCACTTGCAATAATCAACTTGTAAGAAAGCGATACAAACAACTCTGCACCCTCCTGGATAAGAGGTACTGATGGACAGTGTTTCCCCAATACACCTGTTTGGGGAAAAGGCCTGGCTGTCAGAATCATGGAAATCCAGGACAAAGGATAAACTTTAAAATACCAGTTTCTACTCAATTCACTCACAGAGTTTTTCTCCAACTTCCATTACCTATCTATACACTTGAGTATTTCTTCATCTACACATCACCTACCCTAATAACTTCATTATACTCATTAAACTGGCTCATTTTTAGTTAAATAATTTTATTTTAAAAGGAAACTTTAAGGTGGATGGGGTGGGGGGGCTGTGCCTCCTGTCCCAGCTACTGGGGAGGTTCATGCGTGAGGATCTTGAACCCACGAGTTCGAGACCGACCTGGAGAAAATACTGTAGCGAGGTCTCAACTCAAAATAAAAAGGGGGAACTTTGTGTCCCTGCTATGGGATGCCTAATCCTACCCTGATTAACAGAAAAATTAACTAAGACATAAATAAAACGGAAACCAAAGTAATGTAAGCAAAGCACGGCTAGACCCCGCCAGCCACAGCCCCGCCGGAGGCCCGCTCGGGGCGACAGACGCGCGGCAGCCCCGCCCTCTAAGCGCCCTCCCCGAAGGGGCGAGGACACGCCTTCCGGTGCCACCCGGCCTCCCGGGCGCCGCGAGCGCTCGGACCCGAACCGCGGCGAGGGCGGAGGCCCCGCGCGCTCCCGCGCTCCTCCCGACCCGCCCGAGTCCACCGAGACCCGGACCCGGACCCGGACCCGCGGCGCCAAGCCAGAGGCCGCAGGACCATCCCCGCGTGGGCCCTGTCCGCGCCACAGTGGCTCGGCCACCGCAGGTGATCGGCCGGACGGTTTACCTAGGGCTGTCGGGCAAGATCAGCGCCGCGGACGCCGCCATCCTCGAAGCTCCCTCGCCCGTCGCCGCCTGTCAGCTGCGCAGGTCGCGACCAATGACGCCCGGAGGACGGCAAGCCGGGAGGGCCACACCGCGCCGCGGCCCTGCGTTCACGCTCCGCGGCCGCACCGGGAGGCCAGCCCTGTCCAGCCCCGCGGCTAGGAGTGGGGGATCTTCGTGTCCCCTGGGGCCGTGTCTGAGGCGAACCTCTGCGTACGTATCTATTTATGCATCTGCATACCTGATTAGGCTTGTGCATGCGTGTGCATTTTGTGTCTGTAGATGTATAGACGTAATACAGCTGGCACGTGTGTGTCCCGGCAAGCCTAGAGAATGCACAGCCTTGAAAAGTTTGTCCTTTCGGTGGGCGGGTTTAAACAAGCAGCACGCCAGCTCCCCTGGGGTGGCAGGATGCGACCTCCTCAGCGCCTCATTGCGTGGCCGTGCCTCTCCCGGGGAGGCCCAGGAATCTGAGCCCGTGGAGCTCTAGGGCTGCTCTGGACGGGAGGGTGCAGTCCGCTCCCCCGGGGGGCTCCACCAGGAAGGGTTCCCCCAGGGAGGGCTCCCTGGAGCGCCTACTCTGTACGGAAGATCTGAAGTCGTGCCCTAAGGTGCTTGCTAACAGTTAAAATGAACCAGTGTTGTTGAGCCCTTCTTGTGGCAGTGGAGGTGAATCACCACGGAGACCACGACGAACTCACAGGGGAGTGGCACCCACGTGTTTCCACCAGTATCTCAGTTGGCCTGGGAGAAGACCTTGGAGGAGTTGAGAGAATCAGAAGGGGTCCTGAGAGGTAGGAAGAGGAAGCCCTGGGCAGGGAGTCTCGGCCTGGAGAGGTGCTCTTTTTGTTGTCATTCTCCAGACTGTAATAGCAATTGGATTGGAAAGCGGTAAGCAGAAAAGCTACAAGCACTACTATTACAGTAAACTATGGGAAGCAATAAAAATCTGTGATACTAAACAAGCACTGGGAAATGAAAAGACAGTGACTAGGCCAGAGTTGCATTTCAGAAGTAGAATCTTGAAGAGTTGGCAAAAGATTGAATTGATTTAATTTTCCTTCCTAATTATGTTTTACTCAAATTATTATTTAAATTAGTTGGCATTCCTGGAGCAATCCAAAAAACATCCTAACTGAAAGGAGAAGCCATATTGCAAATTAAAAGTGAATAATCCCCACATGGATAATTGAGTCAATTATACAGTGTGTTGAACACATAAATGCATTTAGTTACTCAACACTCCACACACTCCCCCCATTTATGCATATCTGAGAAAGATGTATGTGAATCTACATAAATTATAGGTACATGATTCAAACACAAATTACCTTACCTGGCACAACTTTAAAGAAGTCCTACTTCCCTCCATCTTTTAATTATTTCCCTTTTGGCTTGATTCACTGCCTGAACGAGAGCCACTAGCCTCCTGAAACTGTCAGATATTAGTGAACCTGACCTTGTCCTTGGTTGTCTTGAAAAACAGCTGGGATTTTGAATAAAACAGCTTTCAGATAGTTCTTATCCTAATCTGTGTAACCTCAGACAAAGTACTTAACCTTGTTCATCTTTCAATTCCTGATCTGAATATGGGATGAAAATAATGTCTGCTCCCCTGGGCTATGAGAAGGGTTAAGTAATTGATAGGTACCCAAAAGAAACCCTATACCCTCCTTAGAAAATAAAGCACAGACTTCTCAGGTTTTCACAAAAGAGTCATCAATTCTCTCCATTTGTAGTTATGGTTGATTACTTCCTATTGCCACTTCCTGCTATACAAGCTTGATGCTTTGAATAAATTTCAGTCCTCAGTGAGTGTCTTGCCCAGGTATTTCTGAGTTCTTTAGAATATAGTCATGTACGTCCATGAAGAGGTCTTTTATTTATCTACCTGTTACCCACTGCCATGGAGCAGGAACTATGCCTTCTAGCAGAATAATTCCATAACCACTTTTTACTGTACCCTCCAAACATGTTATTAAACTTCTCTGTGCTGCATCCAGAACCCCAATCAGCTGCCTCCGATCTATTGTGGATACGAAGCCATGCTGAATGCCTCAGAATTTTTCTTTATCCCTACCTTCACTGCTAACTCTAACCAGGTTGGCCATTTTTTGCATTTATGCTAGCATGGGCCCTCTGAAAACCAACCGGAGTTACATGCTAGTGACTTATTGGGGGCTGTAAATGCAGGGAAGTAAGGGTGAAAGGAAAAGCAAAGGCAGGAAGGCTAGAAGAAAGGCAAGCACACAGTGGCCTGTTTACTAACTGGCTACCCAGTTTATTTCAAAACCTAGTTTATTTCTCAGAAGAATATTCCAGAAGACTGTGTAGTGTCACTGTTTCTTCAAACAGCCTAGGAATATGAGTTGTAAGGGAAAGATTTTTGTCTGAAAACACTTCAAAAAATTTCTCTTTTTGGTCCACATCTGTTCTAAGCTTATATCATGTCTGTACTTTGGGGTCTGCACATGATGCCTCTAAGTAGTTCCATTGAATAATCCAGGCTTCATGAGTCTTGTAGAATAGGACCTGAGTACAGGAGCATAGTAGGAACTCGTGGCTCAATCTCTACTTGGAGAAACCTCCAGTTTGTCTCCTGAGGGTAGCAGCAGGTAGCAGGGGCTTTAAGACCACTGGAAATGTTCAAAGTTCTCAGGAGCCATTTTGTTAGGAGAGCAGAGCCATGCGCTAAAGAGTGGGAGTCGAATGAGGTTAAGCTCATTTGAGGAGGTCCACAGCTTCAAGACCATTCTATTTCTTTAGTGCAATATTTATACAAGATGTGCTTGATGCTTCAGTTTTTTGGGGTAACTTTTCCAGTTCAGGTATACCAAACTTTTTCCAAAAGACACCACAGCACAGGTTGGAATGAGGTCTGGTGTCAGCCTTCCTCTGTGTCCTGGGAGCTAATCCTTCCTCCTGAGTGTGCTCTTTGTCTGTTGTGGAGCACCTCCCTTTTGACCAGTTCTTTCTCGGTACCCCTTTGGAGTATCTGATAACCCTCTATCTGCCTACAGCCTCACTGTGAACTAACCTTCTCCCTACTAGGCACAATTTATATTTTTGACACACATTGTAGCGGAGCAAGGTCTGGCCTTTTCCCTCCAAGATGTCTCTTCGAACCCTAAGTGAACTGTGGGCGTACCAACATACCACTCCCAGACCCAAGCCCCAAACACAAGCATTTATTTTTGGAAAGTGGCTATTCTACTACCCCAGCAGAACAATATCTGAGCCTCAGAACCCCAGTGAAGCATCCTTTTCAAGCATTCTTTTCATATTCACTGACACCTCAGTTGTTGAACTCTTTCCAAATTCATGGAAACATTGAAAACTTCAAGAGCTGAACATATTTTTCCCATAAGAAATGAAAGAAACTGAATAATTGATTCTGAAGCCCAATAATTACAATCACAAATTCATTTTTTAGGACTTTAACAAAATTCATAATGATTTCTTTCTTTTTCATGATTCTCACAGTTCTTAGCTTTACTCCCGGTGTCAACAACTATATGGAACCATGATTTTGATATTTTACACAAATAAAGCACACAAAAAAGTAAAGCATAATCATAAATGTTTTAAGCTGTTAACACAAGCACTGTTTGTTGTCTGGCATGAGCAGGACTTACACTGAAGAATCACCCTAGCACATTAAATGGCAGGGATTTGGGGGAGCTTCTCCCTGCCCCTGCGATCACAGCACCACCCTAATGATGCTCCATGTGACACCATAGGTGGTCCCAATGCCCAGGACGGCAGATCATGGATACCACTGAGAAACGGAGTGGGAGGCATCAGAGTCAGGGCTGCCCAACACTTTGTGTACCGGAAGCCTGAGTCACAGAGCATTCCTCTTCCTCATCCTTTTCCTCTTTGCCCTTCTGCCTTTTCCTACTTTCTGATGGTTTTCAATAAATGGAACTATTTACCACTTTGGATTTGTTTGGCAATTCTTTGCTGGTCGTAGACAAAAGCTTGGACTATTTGGGGCCCATTCAACTTTACCTATGGAAAGACAGGACACATGATTCATTCTTGGCCAGTGCAAGATTTTTCAAGTCAGGTTTTTGGGTTCCAATATTGAGCAAAGTTACATGCACTAAACAGATTTCTTCCCAACTGTGCTGTTGGAGCAGTGGAGTTCAACCAAGCTTGGTGCTGCCTGACAACTGAGGGCCATGGAGATAGCTCAGCAGTCTAAGCACCTGCCTAGGCAAGCTCAAGGACCTGGGTTCAATCACTGGTACCACATGCAGTGCCCCAAACCAGGCTGGGTCATGCACA